ATATATATATATATATATATGTTTATCATGCGTAATAAAAGGCTTTTACCCCTAATATATAAAAAGCTTTCAAAAGCATGTATTTAGCCTATACTAAGAACAGAAATAGATAATTCACAAAAGAAGAAATACGAAAATCAAATTAATGAACAAACAAAAGTTCAAAGCCACAAACTATATGATGAATGTTTACATTTTTAAAAGTTACGGTAAAAGACACATTACCCTTAATCCCCCTCAAAATACTCCCCCTCATTTTGAACACACTTATCCCATCATTCTTGCCACTTTCTGAAGCAGTTCTGAAAGTCCTCTTTTGTGAATGTCTTTAGTTGCACTGTAGTGGCTGCCTCGATGTCCTGAATCGATTCAAAATGTTTACCTTTCATGGTTATTTTGACTTTGGGGAAGAGCCAGAAGCCACACAGTGTCAGAACCAGTGAATAAGGTAGATGAGGACACAGCATAATGTTTTTATTTGACAGAAATTGCCATATACCAAAAGAGATGTTTGACACGAGAGCATTGTCATGATGCAGGATGATTTAGGACATACTTCAAAACACACCTTCTCTCAACCATAGCTCCCACCCGACTGACTGCACCAAACAAGTTGAAACTTGTCACACACCATTACTAAGGTTTGAAACACTGCCTCCCATATTGAAGATGCCTGCCTTTCTGTTGGATGGTACTCAGCATCCAACATATTGTTTGATCACAACGAAAAGGCTCTGTGTCATACATTACTTCTGGTATGACAATTTCTGTCAAATAAAAACAGTGTGTTCTGATCCACCATATTCACCATGCAACTTCTGGCTCTTCCCCAAAGTCAAAATGATCATGAAAGGTAAACATTTTTAATCAATTCAGGACCTCAAGGCAGCCATGACAGCACAACTAAAGACACAAAAGAGGACTTCCATAACTGCTTCAGAAAGTGGCAAGAATGATGAAATGAGTGTGTTCGGAGCAAGGGGGAGTAATTTGATGGAGATTAAGGACAATGTGTCTTTCACTGTAATATTTTTTTATTTAAACATTCACCATATTGTGTGATCACACCTTGTACACTATTTAAAAACAAAACATAAACAACGTCAATTTCAAACAATGGGGATTGAATAAATACATTGATACAACTAGCTGATTAAATATTACATAGTTATTAAAATTCATGCTGAAGAACAAAAATATACTTAATAGTATGACATAATATATTATCTTGATTATGTCAAGAAAAATACTACTATATGAAGCATATGCACAGGAAAATATTTAAAGAGATATTTACCAAAATATGAACAGCAATTATCTCCAAGTGGATTATAAGTAATTCATTTTGTCAGAGCTAGCCTTGTACCTAACAGATTTGGGCAGTGTCAGATAACAAACATGTCTTTGTTGAATGCTTTGGTGATTGCTATTATAGGAGACACTTATGGCTTTCAACGCCACATCCATTTCTGTTCTTCTCTTCCTGAAAACTCCAGTTTTATTCAGGTGCCCACAATCTTTCTTCTAAGAAGACTTATGATGTGGGGAGGCTAGCCCCAGTCCCATTCCCAGCAGTAATCCCTGATTGGTATAAGGCTTAGACTCTAAACTAACCATGGTTTAAAGGTATCTTTAAAGGTGGTCATGTGATCCAGTTCTAGTCTGAGATATGAGAGGTCTACAGGAGAAAGGAAAGGTTTCTAAGCAATTTTTGTCTGCTTGTGAATGTTGTTATGTCAGGATATGAAACCTAAAGCTGCCAAAGTCATCTTGGGTCATGTGGAGAACTGGTCTTAGAATGAGGTCACTGAAGATGGCAGAGTGGAGGGTTGGAAGGCATCTAGGTCTTTGATGGCACTATTAAGCAACTGACTGGGGCCGGCCGAGTGGCGCGATGGTTAAAAGCTGGCTTGGGACGCCAGAGAGCCCCGGTTCGGATCCCAGATACGAGGGCCAGTGACACTGCCCTCTACAGCTAAGGTGCTGAACAATAGCTCAACCTGGAGCTGGGCTGCCGTGAGTCAGCGTAGGCTGCAGCCCCTGTGGCAGTGGGTTGCCATGGGCTATCGTGTGTAGCCAGCAGCCAGCGTGAGCAGCCGTCCAGAAGCGAAGAGCGCAATGATGGTGCCAACTTGGGCCAGTGAAGCAACGTCCTCCACAACTAGACTGAAGAACAAAAGGACAGCAACTTGTCTTTTCCCCTTCCCCCCAATTCCCCAGCTCTGTTCCCATCCCCCCAATTCCCCAATAAAAATCTTTTAAAAAAAGCAACTGACTGGACTATTCCCAGAGACTCCTTATCTCTTGATTCTTTTGTTGTTGTTGTTGTTGTAAGATAATAAACTTCCTTACTGCTCAAGTTTATTTGATGTTTTCTGTTACTTGCAGCTAAAGGTATCCTAATGATATAGTAGAGCCTGGAAAAAACGGAGTTTGGCGATCTTCCTGTAGAGAATTTTGTTGTAGCATTAGCATAACTCCTAGGGAGAAGGAGGGGAAAATTAGAACCCACGAGTTGTCCAAAACAAAACAGGATCTCTTAGAATTTGAGAGAGGAATTCATAAAAATATGTTTTGTTGAAAGCTTCTTTGATTAGAACATGATAAAAGGAATTAAAGCTTTCTTCTCCAGCTAATTGAATAACTACCACTTCATATTTTTAAAGTTTTTCTTTTAGAAAAAACTTGGTTTTTGTTCAAAGCAAATACAATTTTTTATTGTATTTTTGATTTCCAAAGTTTAAAAGTAACTCACTAGTTATTCTCTAAAATCTTCCAATACATTTGTTTTGGAAGCACAGTGTTAGGAAACTATCCACAATTATAACATCTTATTTTCATGTAGCTACCGTAAATCCTTAAAGTAACCAGATTGTGATTCGACATAATTTGCTCATGAAATTTATGTAGAAGTAGGTAATTTCATAGAAATCTATCAAAACAAGATGAAAATTGATTATTTGGTTAAATGTATTAGAGGAGTGGTTCAGCTTTAATATATTTTTTATTTACTTTATAAGTAGTATAAAAATCTGTTATGTGAGCTTACCTTAATTTTTCTTTTGATATTTCTTAACTCATTATTTGTAGCTCCACTCTCTCTCTCTACTTAAACAGTGGAGTTTTATAGGCACTCCCAACAATACACATACAAATCATTAGGAAATATGGGCACTTTTTATCAGCAACATATTACTGGAACATTCCTCCTGACATTTCATCACACTACCCTGACACCGCATGATACCTCATGACTCCCAGTGAAAAACACGACTCTAGTACTGATTACAATGCACTGGGAAACAAGAAACAAAGCACAAAAAATAAAGTCATCTCCCTCATATTGGAAAATAACACTTGTTGGGGCAGTAACTTAACCTCTCTATGCCTCAGTTCTTCTTACATAGAAAATGAAAGCTACAAGTTCTCATGAAAGTATTAGCAAGTTTAACATTATTGTTTTGAGAGGTTCCATTCAATAAGATAGGACAATGAGCTTGGCAAAATACAGAGGGAATTAAATGCGGAGGACCTGGAATTATTGGCTGAGAAATTGGATCTTTATGTATGAAGACTTGTAAAGATTATTGAACAGGGTAGTAGCATAACATTAATAGTATCTGTGCCTTTAACAGAATACTACTTGGCCATAAAATGAAATACTGCCATTTGCGACAACATGGATGGACCTGAGATTATTATGCTAAGAGAAATAAGTCAGACAGGAAAAGTCAAGAAACATGACTTCATTCATATGTGGGATATAAAACTGAAAACAATAAAGGAACAAGACAAACAAACAAAGAAACAAAAACTCATAGACACAGACAACAGTTAGTGGTTACCAGAAGGTAAGGAGGAAGGAGAGGTGGTAGAAGAGGGAAAAGGGGGTCAAATATATGGTGATGTATTGTAGAAATGTACACTTGAAACCTATGTAATTTTAGTAACCAATGTTGCCCCAATAGATTTAATAAATAAATAAATAAATAAAATAGAATCTGTGTCTTAGGATGAAAACTGGCAAAAGAGTGTAGAATGGACTAGAGAAATATGGAAATAAGGAAAGAGAACATTGCAAAGATCCAAAGGAGAGATGCTGAGGGTAACTGCTGTGGAAGAGTGTTGGGGGTTGGGGAGTGGGGGTGGAATGGGACCAATTTAGGAAGTAAAAGCAGATTATAGAAGCAATAGAATTTGGTTAATAGATGGTGTGAAAAGGATGGAAGGATGTGAATAGGACTTTGAGGTTTATGGCCTGAACATCTGAAGATGGCATTAATTGAATGGAAGCACAAGGATTGTGTGTGTGTGTGTGTGTGTGTGTGTGTGTGTGTGTGTGTGTGTGTAATAGATGAAGTGGGGCAGGTGCTAAGGAATGGTTTTGTCTTTGACATGCCTGTAGACACCCAGGAGGTGCAATACAGCGGCACAGTTAGAGTAGGCCTTGGGACATTTCTTGGTATAAAGGAAAGGAATACTCTTATAATGTTAACAGCTTATTTCTACAGTGCTCAACCATTAGTGCCCCAAACCCTGAGGTAGTTATTACCTCGCCAGCAGTAAAAACTTGATTACAGCCCCTGACTGCTGACTGTGTGCAGGCCCTTGGTTCCCACAACTTCTACGGGGAAAATACTAATTGGAATTAACTACCATGTGGCACAGTACAAAGATTAGATGATTTATTGTGGCTTCCGGAAGGCGCTTGCTTGGTTTTTCCTTGCAGCCCTCAGGGAAAGGGAATTGGACAGCTCCCGGAGTAGCCCTGAGCCTTTCCTGAGTAAGGGCTGGCCAGCTGTTAGGTGTCCCCAGCCAAGTGGGTCTGGCCTTCGGGACCGCTCTGACTTGGCTGCTTCGACCTTGAGCAGTGGGCCCTGCCTTCCCTCTTCTTGGCTCCCGGGGCCAGGCGCCCTGCTCCGGGCGGGGCGGGGCTGCTCCGAGGCCCCGCCCCCCGCTGCCGCCGGCTCCCTCTGGCCCGCGGTGCGGTGCGCGCCTGCGCTGGCCCTCACCTCTGAGCAGCCATGATGGTGGGTGTTCTCTAGTGGTGCCGAGCCCCGAGCGCGCGGTGGGGGCGGCGGGCGCGGGGAGGGTGCGGGGGGCCGCGCTGCCCTGGCACTAATGTTTCCCTTTATGTCTCCCCCACTCCGTCCTTTCCCCCGGCGCCCCGGGCCCCTCCAATCTCGCAGGAAGGCCTGGACGACGGCCCCGACTTCCTCTCGGAGGAGGACCGCGGAGTAAGTTCTACCTCCTTCTCGCTCACGGGACCCTCCCTCCCCTGCCTTGGCCTTGGGTTGTTGTACGCGAAAGGGTCCCCGCCTGGCGGCACCCCCTCCCCGCCGGCCTCCTTTCAGTTTCCTCCCGGCACCGCGCCCAGCCCTCCTGCAGCCCCTCCTCCCTCGGCCGCTCCGTTCTGATTTCCCGGGGACCCGCAGCCGCTTTCTTGTCCCCGGCCTCGGCTTGGACCCTGCGGTGGACCTGCTCCGCGGCCTGGGTCGGGGTGCAAGTGGGGAACTGGAGGCCGGAGCTGGAATCCCTCCCCTCGCCACTTTGGGGGCTATGAAAACCCATCCTCAGACCTCCTTGGATGCACCCCCAGTTTCCCCTTGTGGACTTCTCCAGAGCACTCTTGCCCACCCTTTTCTCTCGAAAACAAGTAATAGTACAGACTTGTTCTAAATTTTCTCTTGCAAGGTATTTTACAGTCGCCAAATCTTAGCTCTTATCCAGCATCCTACCGGATTTTGCAAAGTGCTGGTAGCCCTTGGTACCTTTACTTTTTTTTTTTTTTTTTTTTTTTTTTAGTTTTTCACTTACAGTTGACATACAATATTGGTTTCAGGTGTACAACATAGTAATTAGACATGTATATAACCTTTACTTTTCCTAATGTCCAAAAATACATCTTTTGCATATTTCCCTTGGCGTTGTTTTGAGGTGAATGGCATTCCATTCCAGAAAGGACTCAGGGCTCCGATTCCTCCCTCCGACTCTCTCGCTCCGTTTGCCTTGACTGAAGGGTGGTAATCTGTATAGTGCCTTGTTTGTACCTGTGAGCACTTGAAAAATATTGATACATGATTGCAGCTCAGCAAGGTTCCATGGTTCTTTCACATTTAACAGCCTGCACTTTTGTTTTCCATTTTGCTTTTACTTATTCATGTTAGGTAATGTGAGAGACGCATCTATTAGTCGATTTTGGGCAAGTGATAAATTATTTTGTAGGATATTATTGGCTTTTTAATAAGAGATACAGTAGTAGTAGCTGATGACCTTTATAAAGCTTTCAAATGGTAAGAAAGATGCAGAGGATGCTGCATACTTTAATAAATGATGGATTAATTTCTCAGTTTACACAAGCATTTAAAATTTTTTAGTGAAAAGGATTATGATTAGGATTTCTGATTATTTCTAAAACTTGTAGTTTCTGATTAATTTTAAAACGTGTGTGTGTACATGTGTATTATGTATCTTCTGGGATAAGAATAGAGTTACATGACCACTTATAGATTATATTTCGGATTTTAATATAGGGGAAACCAGCAGAATTCTGTAGTGAAATGAGACAAATTGATTAGCACGAACTGATTTTTCTAAATACAAAGCATATGGCCTTCTTCATTTAGATAACAACTTTGAGTCTTATTTTTGTGTTCTACCAGGAAAAACCAACAGGATTTATTTACTTCCTTGTAAAATCTGACTAACGTTCAGTAAAAGTATTAATTTGTTTAGTATTTATGTTGATGTGAAAAGTAGAGTATTTTCTGGTAAATTTATGTGTTTCTGGCTTTATGCCTTTGGTAAGATTTGCTTTTGGAACTGGAACCATTTAAGTAAGGTGTCCAAAAACTATTTTCATGTACAAAATTAAAAGGAGAGGACGACAGAGCATGCCTCACCAGGAGGTTTTTGTAGAATCTTGTAGATGAAAATTTTAATATGAAAATGGAAAAAATATTACCATAAATTAGAGAGCATTTAGAATGCCAAGATGCGTATACTATATACATGTCCAGTTCTTCCTTATTTTTGTCTTGTGGAACTGGGTGAATCATAATAATAACTATATCACATATGTACTATATACTGAGTACTGTGTTAAGCACTGTCTAAGCATTGTTTCTTTATATTGTCTTATCATCCTTGTGAAGCTTTTAGTATTCCCCATTTACTGATGAGAAACCTTAACCTCAGAAAGTAAGTTGTCTGAGGTCACACGGCCAGTGTAGGAGTGGGAGAGGAGAGGTGGACTTCAAACCATGTTTCTGACATCAGAACCGGTGCAGTATTTCTCAAAGTGGCCTTGAAACAGTTGCATCAGACTAGGGATGTTTGAAAAACAAAAGTTTATGGGTCTGCACCTTAGTAAATCAATCTCTTGAAGGGGGAGAAGGATAGATAACTATTTTTTAAACAAAAAGATTCTGTTCACTAAAGTTTGATACAGCTGCACAAAGTTATCCTGCTGTTTCCTCACTTCAGGAACAAAAATATCTGGACTTTAAAATTTCCTTATATTGTGCTTATGCTGATAGAAATAGATTGCCATAGTCAGAACTTGTATGTATTGCACTTTTAGTTTAGATTACCTTGTTCAGCCTTTTAATAGAGTCTTGATAGAGAAAAAGCATGAAGTACATACTTGATATGACTTGCAGAAGGAACATCACAGATTCAAAAATAATGCAAGCATTGCATACAAAGCAGCAAGTAAGCAAAATTAAATTCAATATTTTAAAATAAATTTTTAAGCAGTCTTAAATTTTCATCATGATATTTTGAGATAAAAGAAAATCTTACAGCCTTAAAAAAATATTGTTTTATGAGAAACTTAAAAAGCAGCCTTTAAGAATACACAATATTAAAAATTATTGGCCACTTTTTGATCTCTTCAGCCACACCTCTACATAATAGGGTTATGTTGTTTTTTCACCCCCACAAATGCAGGACAGTAACATATTTAGTAAACAAATGAGCCCTTTGAACTGGACATATTTTTCTCTGATGTGCTTGTTCAATAAGAGCAGTGGGTGTATAATTCTCTTAGCATTTGATTTGAACTTACATGTTTGTTATTTCAAAATTACTTCAGGTGTAGCAACTCTACCTCTCCTAGATTCCTAGCCTTGTTCTTCCCTCTGTGTTTATTTTCATAATGTCACCATTTTCCAGTCATGCAGGCAAGAAACCTCTGAATCATATCCTTCATTCCTATATCGAAACAGTCACTGAGGCAAGTTAATTTTGCCTCAGAAATGTTGTTTATCCATCTTTCATTTGCGTGACCCCAGTTAAGGTCCTTGCTATTTCTTGCTTGGATTGTAGCAATACCTGTCATTGGTCTCTGTCTCCAGTCTTACTACTTTGCAATCAGGTCTTCACATTACTTGTAGTTATCTAATTAAAATGATTAAATCATATAGTAGCACTAGCAAAAAGGACTTACTTGGACCCAGTTCTTTTTGAAATAAGGTCCAAACTCCTTAGTCTAGCATTAAACACCATTCATAATCCTTTCAGTATGTCCCCCCCATTCATTCGTTTTTCTTTTCTCTCCCCCCCCCCCCCCCCACTGCTTCTCCCCTCCTCTCTCTCTCTCTTTCTGTCTGCTCTAGTCTACTTGTCACTGCCCAAGCACTTCTGTCTGCACCTTATTTTCTGCTTTATGCATGCTTTTCAGTGTTATGGAGTGCTTTGATTGATTGATTGATTTTGGAGTGCTTTATTTTTTTTCTTACCCTTTTTTTTTTCTTACTTGAAATTTGACATATCTTTTGAGAGTTGTCCCAAATGTTTGCATTTTCTTTTGTACCTATATATCATTTAGCTTGAACACATTCCACATTTACTGATAGTTATTTCAGATAAAAATGTGACATAGATTGTGTTGGCATAGGATAAGAAGACGGATGTTGGCAGAGGTAAAAAGGAAAGTTCCTGCTCTGAGACCATCGCGATGTAGTGAGAGACTTATGGTAAAGTGCCAGAGCGTGCAAAGGAGAGTGTGTTTAACTTTGAAGGGGGAGAGGGGTTGTGAAAACAATGGTACCAACACACTGATATAGCATTTACTGCATGCCAGGGACTTTCCATGTATTAACTCAGTTCTCAAACTGTGAAGGAGCTGCTACTATTATTCCTATTTTGGAAGGGGAAGCTGGGGTTCAGAGAGATTAAGTTGCCCAAGGTCATATAGCCAGTATGAGCTGGATTCAAACTCAGGCAGTCTTAACTGTAGGTCCAGGGCTCTTAACCACTATGCTGTCTCCTAAAGGAGCTGAGCCTTGAATGTTGATCAGGATTTTTGTGGGTTCTCAGGGAAGGGGGATGTTTGCCAGCAGAAAGGATAGCCTGTGTAGGTAATTTGGTCCCAACTAGAACACTTGTTCTTACCGGAAGCAGGGATAGGTATGGATACTATAGATGGAGTGTAAAGTGCACAATGATAAAGACTCCAGGCAGTGGGAAGTCCTGAAGGATTTTAACCTGGGAATGACTTATGCTTTCCCAGGTGAAATTAGCATTTTGGTTACTCCGATGTGGAGGATGGATTGATTCTTCCTTTCAGATAGGAGAGAAACCAGTTAACAGGTTATTGCAACACTCCAGATGTGGTAGAACTAAGGCAGTGGAAGAGGGGCTGGCCAGGATATTTAGGAGGTAGAATTGACAGGACATAGTGACTGAATAAAAATACATGTGCTGGACAGACAAGAAGAAAATGAGGAATATAGAAGAGCAGAATTAGAAAGTAGATAAGTTTGGTTTCAGATATGTTGGATTTTTAGTGCCTATGAGGCATCTAATCCCTTCCCTGCCAAACTAGAATGTCAGATCTGTAAGGGTGAGTATTGTGTCTTTTCATTGCTTTGTCTGTATGTAGCACCTAGGACAGTGGCTGGCACATTGAAGGCACTCAGCTGTTTAATAAGTGACTATATCCAGGTGGATATGTCTAGTTGGTAACTTGAAATTATAATTGGGAACTTAGAATAAGAGGTCTGAGTTGAAGATACAAATTTAGGAATTATTAGTGAAGAATGGCTGAGATTGCCAAGGCTAGATAGCACCCAGGGAAAAACAACATTTAAGGCTCAAGGGGAAGAAATGGACTAATTGATGGGGCTGAAGAGGATAGCAGGAGAATGAGAGGAGTCCCCGAAGTTAAGAGAATTTTAAGAAGTGGCCAGAACGATCACTGAGGTAAAATACTGCAAAGAGGTCAAGACCGAAAAGTATTGGATTTGGAGATTAGGTATTCATTATGTGGAAGTTTTATGAGACCAAGGCTGACTTGACTCATAGAGCAGGGTATGAGCAGATTCTGGAACAGACAGGAAGATGAAATGCTCAGGTGGACAGATACCTCAGCCCTCCACAGGACACCACTTCTGAGAATGCAGAGAAGGTGGTGAGACTAGATTTATTTGTACAAACGTTTATTGATGGGTCTGAGGGGAAAACAGCTGCTAGTATTTATTTCTTTGGGATGTGGGAAGCAGGATCACTTATTGAGAGGGGGTGGAAATGTGGTAGGGGGTTAAGATAGTAAAAGTTTGGAGTAGTTGCTAAAGGAAATCAGAAGGGGAGCTGAGCAGCTCTGCTCAGGATTGTTGAGTGGTTTTAAGATCCTAATGCAATTTGGAGACCATTAATTTGTATAAAACAGGAATTTTCTCTAGCCCCACTGAGCAGCTCAAAAAAAAAAAAAAGTGATGGTTGACTGATCCTGAGTGGGAATTTGCAAGTAGATAGGGCAAAAGAGCCATGGGACTTGACAGGACCAGGAGGAAAGGTATTGGAATGGCGTACCGTCGAGTGGATTGGAAAAGGAGGGAAGCAGAGAGGGGGCTAACAGACTGGAGATATATGGAAAGGTCACAAGACTGGATGGATTGATAAGATCAAACTGTGCACCACATGGTAAAAGTAGTGGTGGAGTGTTTTATTACATGAAAGTGATTGTCTTCCTCACTACAAATAGAATTCTTTTTTTTTAAGATTTTATTGGGGAGTTGGGGAAGGGGAACAGCCAGGTTGTTGTCTTGTTGTCCTTCAGTCTTAGTTGTGGAGGGTGCAGCTAGCTCAGCACCAAGTCCAGTTGCCATCCGGCTGCTGATTGGCAGCGCAAGGCTGCTCAGCTCAAGGTGTCGAGTTCAATCTTAATTGCAGGTGGGCATAGCCCACCATCCCATGTGGGAGTCAGACGGGCAACCTTGTTAAGAGCACGTGCTCTCACCAGCTGAGCCATCCTGTCACCTGTTGGCAGCTCAGTGGCAGCTCAGCTTGGGCGCAGCTCACTGGCCCATATGGGAATTGAACAGGCAACCCTGTTGCTCAGAGCTTGCAGTCTTAACAACTGAGCCATCAGCCGGCCCCTACAAACAGAATTCTTGAAGGCACGGATTTTTGTTGACATTATATCCTTTACAATGCCTAGGACAGTTGTTTGCATATAAGGGCAGCAGTGAGCCAGAGGAATAGTAGGTTAGTCAGAGACAATATCAGGTGCAGATTATATTGGGCCTGGGGAGCCACTGTAAGGACTTTGGCTTTTCCCCAAGTGGGAACCCCTTAAGTTTTGAGCGGAAGAATGATTTCTAGTTTAACGGGATCATTCTGGTGGCTCTATAAGGAATAGATTGAAGAGGGAAAAGGGCAGAAGCAGGAGACCAGTCAGGAGGCCATCTTTATACATTTGCTTTTCTGGCAACAGATAACAACTAATATTTTAGGAATGTTCCATGGTAGATACTTTATAGTGAATGAGTCAGTGTAGTAAACTAATAGTGAAATTTCTTCTTTACTAAATAATTATATATGGAGATTTAATCTACCAACAATAGGGCAGTGTCTTTAAATTATTTTTCTATTGATATTGTATTTGCATTATGTAATCCATTTTCTCTTGTTCTAGTCTTTCTCTTGACCATGACACAAATGTTTAACCTAGTCAGTCTCTGGCAAAAGGAGGTATAATATTTATTGGCCTGGATAAGGATTAAATCAGTGAAGGTAGTCTAGTTAGAATTTCCTCAGACAAACTGACCTCACTAGTTGCAGAAAGTTAATAAACTGTTAATAAATCACAAGTTGTTTGTTTTGACTCTTTCCCTTAATAAAAACTATCTAAAATTGACTTTTCTCTAAACAAAGAAGAAAATCTGCTATACATTTTATGTAATTAACACTAAATTTACAATATGATATTTTATCAAATCTAGAGTGCAATTAACTAGAAGATATATTTTCTTTTATGTACCACTAAGAAAGAAAAAATTACCAATTAAGCTGTAATTTATCATAAATTGCAAGGCATCCCTGTTTCAGATATGTTAAATTGTGAAAATATGCACCTGGAATTGAAAAAATATATCAGATTAGCTTTCAGTGAAATTTTGTATTGATTGTGGGGCATAATTTCATTTTATTGGCTGGCTTTATAGTAGTTCAGAATAATCTCCCCATCCCAAAATTCTTAATTTAGTCTCACCTGCAAAAGTCTTTTTTTACCATATAAGGTAACGTCCACAGGTTCCAGGGTTTGGATGTGGATATCTTTTGGTGAGCCATTATTCAGCCTACTACAGTAAACATCTTAAAAGTAGCCTGAATGTGAGTCAAAAGAAAAAAGGAAACAGATTTCTTAAACTAGAATTACAGTAAGGGGTTGGAGAAGAGGTAGGAAAGACAATATGAAGACCTAATAAGACTAAATAGAAGCAAGAAAACCAAAGAACAGGGTATTCTGAATGTTTTCAATATTGCAGAGGCAATGAGATAGTTGAAAAAATGAAAAAGAAAACAACTAATTCCAGGCAACTTTTCATTTCTTTTATCAGACAATGGGCTACATGTAGCATTGAGTACAATAACAATTTTTAAATATTTTTAAATGGCTTTATGCAAGTTTATAGTATAAACTTAAAAATATGATTATTGATTGAAATTTATAAACTACTGGTATTTAAATTATCAGGAAATTTTTATTAAATGCCATCATAGATCATATCATGCAATTTGATTAATTTCTTCTGTGAATCTTAAGTTTGATTTTATGTAATGGTATTTTTTTTAAAAACCATGTCTACTCAGTCTAGAACCAATAGTGCAAAAATGAAATAGTGTGTTAGTTTTTTCATTACTAATAAAGTTAACCCTATTTAATAAAAAAAACATAAAATTCATCTTTTACTAAATCACAGGATTTCTGTTTAAAGAAGGCTTACTTTTTTCCTATTTATAAAATAATTTATATTTTGGAAAATTGGGAGAATAAAAGAATATATAAAGAAAAAAATCCACTGCTATTCACGTTTTGTATTTCCTATAAACCTTTTATGTATGCATTTTTAAAAATATAATTGAGATAATAGCGTATAAACAATTTTGCTTCCATTTACATTAGACATGAAACTTGAAATGCTAATGACCAAGTGAGATTGGCAAAGTAAGTTCTAGGTTTTACAACTAGACTATTTGAAGCATACTAGTTAGACTAAAGATTTTATGTCTTTGCAGCTGGCCAAGACTTTATTTTACCTTTTATTGTATTTGATTCTTTTATAAACCTCCAAATTAGCCAAACATATTAGACACAGTTATTTGTTTAAAGGGTAAGAAAAATGGATAAAATTTAAGAATTATAAGTAGAATTAATGATAAATAAGAGTTATAAGTGGAAAAGTCTCCTTGTAGACAAAAAAATGGAAGCACTGACAGAGAACATATCCAGTTCTGTATTAAAGCTTATAAAGTGTGAAATTTATTTCATATCACAGGAGTTACTGAGTACTGTATGTTAGCATGTTTCTTAGCACTTTATATATATGTAATTAACTATTGGGTTGTCGGAAAAGTCATGATGCATGTTTGCAACAAAAAACATAGAAAAAATACTTCATGATTTTTCCGACAACTCAATATAATTAATAGTGTAATTGAATATTCCTGAATTAAAATAAGTAATAGAGTTAAAATTATTGACCAATACTCTTTATATATTTTTTCTTATTCTTAATGGTAGATACATTCCTTTATTTTAGAACACTTGAACTTTAATGGACAATCTTGGAAAATAATTTAGTTTTGGGGTGAAACTAATGAATCATGGTTAATACATTGACTCGTGCTAAGCATAGTTGAATAGTGTAGAATGAAAATTGGATAATGACAAAACAAAAACACTTGCCCCAAAATGTATATGTAGATTAAATGAGCTCAAATACCTTTTTAGATTTAAGATTCTTTTGTTATTTTAGTTTTGTTTTTGCATTGTCTTATTATCTGGAATAAGAATGAAATTATATAAAAGCCCACAGAATTTTCATTTAGGTATTATTTTCTTTTTCTAGCTTAAAGCAATAAATGTAGATCTTCAAAGTGATGCTGCTCTGCAGGTGGACATTTCTGATGCTCTTAGTGAGAGAGATAAAGTAAAATTCACTGTTCACACAAAGGTAAATGTGATTTTTACTTGTATTATTTTTTGCTATTTATTGTGGTAATGTTACATATGTAATAATATATTGACTAGAACTTTGGAACATAACTAGAAACTTTTTAAAATTCATAACTCACTGCTATTTTAACAACGTTTCAGGGAAACGAACTTTTTAAAGGTTAACTTTTATTTATTATTAGTTTCAGGTGTGCAAAACAAGATAATTTAAGCCTCACAAAGTGATAACCCCAACAAGTCTACTACCCATCTGATACCGTCCATAGCTGTTACAGTACCATTGACTACTATACTCCCAAAGGCTAACATTTAAGAATTAATCACAGAACCTAGACATAATGCAAATTTAATTTTCTCCAGACTTTTATTAATATCTTTTACCATTGTTTTCAATTTTGTTGTGTTCCTTCAGTTAAATTGCTGTCTTACAAATTATTTTCTTTTTTTTATTTATTTTATTTATTTTTTTTTATTTTTTTATTTTTTTAAGCTGAGCCATCCTGCTGCCTGTTGGCAGCTCAGCGGCTGCTCAGCTTGGGCCAGGAATCGAACCGCTGTTGCTCAGAGCTCAAACTCTTGAAGCAAGCTCTTAACCAACTGAGCCACTTGGCCAGCCCTGTTTTCTTTTTATATAGTTCAGCCCTCAGGCACATTTTCAGATTGTAGATCTATTTTCCTTTATTTGAATTGTTGAGCTTAATATACATTAATAGGATAACTTAAGTAATGGTAGCAGTACAGTATAACAAGAGGCTGTCAACTTATTTTCTCAAAGATCCCAGGATAATTTTGTCTACCTGTATTAGACTTTTCTTAATAGAGTTTAAAAGCACTGATAATCTTTCATATAAGACTTAATTTTTAAAAATAAGATATAAAAAATGTTTATTAAAAGTTTTTTAGTGTAATTTTAATTTTTATTCAAGAGAATCTCTCTCTTTTCAGAGTTCATTGCCAAATTTTAAACAAAATGAGTTTTCCGTTGTTCGACAACATGAGGAATTTATCTGGCTTCATGATTCCTTCGTTGAAAATGAAGACTATGCAGGTTACATTGTAAGTGTTGAGGTTCCATTTTGATCCCATTTTTAGGATCTTTTTAGTTATTTTATTACTTGTTGAAATCTTATTTCGCATTTTTAGTGAACTGATGTAATTTTCAAAAATTGCCAGCTACAAAACATAATTGGCTACCACCTTTTATCCTGAATTGTCTTGTTTGGAGGTTTGAGGGTGTGAATTGTTATGCTCCCTCATCTAAATTGAAATTCTTACCGTGTATTAGAATTGCAACAGGCTTATCCTGGGGATTAATTAATGGGATGTTACAAACCATACTGGTTTTGAACCCTTAGGAAGACAGATAGAGTTGGAGGGCTGCTAAAGAGGTTATCTAATCTAAATATGCACCGGATGTTGTGCCTCAGCTGTTGACCACACTAGATTTCTGAAATTTAGTTTCATTTGATTTCTTTGAAATCATCCTGACCTGATTCCATCTCCATCCTTCTAGGCACTCACTCCTTCTTAGTCAGTAGCTTCTATTTATTTTTTCTATAATTCAGAGTGGACAACTGGCAATGCATTCTTTTTGTTTTTTTTGTTTTTTTACAAATACCAGCTTAGATAAAGGCCACAGCTCAGGAACACAAGGTATGGGGAGGGGGAATGGCACAGAGCTTTCATGCTCTCCCCAGGTGTACCCCCTTCCCAGCCTGTCAGTGTTTTCATCAACCTGGAAGCTCTTTTTTTTTCTCTCCCGTCCTATTTCCACCTTTTTTTCCTCATCTTCTTGTCTGGTGGCATTTTCTCACTACTTTCTCCTCCCATAGATTAAACACTCCTCAAAGATTGAGACCATGTCTTACTTACCTTGATATGCCCGTTGCTCAGCATCACGCCTGGCACATAGTAGATGCCACGTGCGAGCATCAGTGAATGTATGCCAGACTATACTTGATGCTTCCTTCCCTCTTGTTTTCATTGGTGTGACCCTTTTCTTGTCATTTTTATTTAACTTTTCTCCTACTTCCCCTGTCTTCCTCTCATCTTACCTGCTATCTTTAATTTCCATCATTTCCCTTTAACAGTTCTTACTTGTAGGCCCTTCCTCCTAAGATAATTTTTTTTTCTTATATCCTTCCCTTGAATGATATTTCTCTTCTAGATATTTTTTTTTTAAGGGAAGTGCTTACTTAACCCCTTACTGTGGATGAATAGAATGAGATTAGTCATTAATCTGTGTCTTGTTCTACTATTTTTAAGTAAATAGTTTCTGCTTTTGGTATACTTCTCCAATCCAGGAACCCTTTTTAACACACCTTGCTTGATCTTTTTGTTAGCATTCACTTATTAAAAAAACACACACACACACAGACTAGCATAAAGGTACTATGAATTCATTAAAATTTAAAAAATACATTTGTATTTAATCATATAGTTTACATACTTTTGGAAATGGTATGCACATTTGCTGTACATATTTATTTAGTGTATAGTCAGATCTTAATGGCATAAATTTGAGGACTCTAGGTTGCCACATAGGAATCTACAGATTAAATTTTGGGAACTGTTGTTCTAATACTAGAAAATAGTACTCTGTTATATTGCTCCCTTAATGTAAAGGATTTCAAGGATTTCAATTTCTAGACTTAATCAGATTCTCTAACCTGACTTGGGATATTACTGGTGCCCTGTTCTCAATCACAAAGTCTTTTATGGTGGCTGTAGTACAACTGCTGTAAGAAATAAAACAGTCTTTAAAACTAGTGCTTTGGTTCTGTTACAGATCCCACCAGCACCACCAAGACCTGATTTTGATGCTTCAAGGGAAAAACTACAGAAGCTGGGAGAAGGAGAAGGGTCCATGACGAAGGAGGAATTCACAAAGATGAAACAGGAACTGGAAGCGTATGTGATTTTTGTTGTTGTTTTTGTTAATTATGCTTGTTTTAATGCCCTTTTTTTTTTTTCTGTGCTCTCTGATATCCCATCCTTTTAATCATTTCACCACAGTGACCCTTTCTGGATGATGCAAGTTTCAGTCACACAACCAGTGTTAATGATCATGATCAGAGCCTACAGGAAAATTATAGAATGATTGTCTTCATTGTAAAAGCCTTTAAATTAATATTTTAAATAGACTGAAAATTTGTAATGGGGATCCAAAAGTTTATAAAAAATGGTAGAAAGGGAAATACTTTTTAAAGCAGAATAAATTATTTTGTTGTTTATAAGGCCTTAGCCATTGCCAACCTTGGCTCTCTTTTTTCAACATGTGCATACTACCAAAACTTCTATTTCTCATAGAAGTATGCGCTGAGCAACTCTGCATATATTGGGGTGTGTGTGTGTGTGTGTGTGTGTGTGTGTGTGTGTGTGTGTGTAATTTACCCCTCTTTTCTCTGCCTGTGGCTTCTGGCTGAAGGGAAAAGAATAGGAGCAAAGTAACAAGAAAATAGTTTTAAAATGTTTTTAGTTTCATATATACTAGAAATGTATTAAATCTTTGAAAAATTGAGATATTTCATTTCCATTTTTAGCATATTTGCTGAAAATACAGAATCTTTTCCCCTTTTATTAAAAACATTTGAAGTAATTTTGGATTTGGTGTATTTTTTTTTTCTGTATTTTGAGAGTTATACAAGGAAATAACTTTCCTTGCATTGTCATCACCTCCATCACTCTTTTTCTGGTCATTTCTCTCTTCATGCATTTCCTTTTCTCTTCTTCCACTTAGTTTCCATTTTTAAGTGTATATTCACACTCCTGCTTAGATTCCTCTTCAGAAGGCTAAACTCTCTTGACAAGATAAATTAGCAAAGTAGATCTTTGTCAAACTGTAAGGTGACAGATATTTTAAGAATTCTGTCAATGCTGGGTGCAAGCAGTAGTCTGATAGCAGATATACACTTTTATAGTTTATAAGACTGCAAACTGGAAATTAGCAGAGCACATTAATATTGAAGGATCTGTGGTTTTCCAGTGGCCCTGATCATGATTCTTTTGTGGTCTGGTTAGGGGTTGGATAACAGAGAACCTTGGGTTTATTCTACTGCTACCTCCATCCTCTGCATCCTTCTTTTTTGTCTTCACTGAATGACTACCCTCACAGAGATCAAACTTCTCCCAACATTGGTCCTGCTGGTTTGCTGGTATGTAAAACTTATCCTCCTTGCACGTAGTTGAAGCAAGAATATTGGGCCTTTTCCTTGAGTGTTTTTTTTTCAAACTGACATGTATTACTGTATGATTGCTGTGATTCACTGATATTAAAATATTTTAAACACAGTTCTTCAATGTAATGGCAAAAATTAGTCTCTCCATGGTGTGTCTCCGGGTCATTAGATGAAAATATTTATTAATGTTGAAAATATGCTTACTTAGGTTTAGGTTTTGATATTTTTTTTCCTAAGAAGGTGTTTAAAAGCAGTAATTATGTAGAAATTGAATCATTACAATTGTATCAAATAATTTATAGTGTACTTCCTCTGAAGCTAAAAATAAACACCCCTATAGTTACCTTTAACATCAACTTGCATAGGAAGAAAGGTTCATAAAACCTAAAAATATTAACATTTAACTATAATAAATGCTATTAACTGGCATGAAGTCTTTTCAGAGCTGGGTTTTATATATTTTATTAACAGTTCAACTAAAATCTTTGTTTACATGGATTATATCTTTGTATCTCTAATTTTGCATTTGATGCAGTGTTTTACCTTTCATTTTGTGTATTGTTTCTAGTGAATATCTGGCAATATTCAAGAAGACTGTTGCAATGCATGAGGTATTCCTGTGTCGTGTGGCAGCACATCCTATTTTAAGGAAAGATTTAAATTTCCATGTCTTCTTGGAATATAATCAAGATGTGAGTATTGAATTGAATAAAATAGTGATCAAGGCTTATTTTTAAAGAGTCATTGGAAATGCAGGGAGTAGTTTGAAAAGGCTTAAGGCCTTCTTTTATAATGTTGTGATTTTTCAAGGCAGTTTAAAATGATGCTTGTTCAGTGACAATTCAGTGTTTCAGTAGAACTTGAGTGGATAAATTGAAGAAATGCTGGCAAATCATGTCACTGCATAGGACATTGATTTTCATACTGAATTGGGAACTTTTTAGGAAATATAGTTGTAAAATTGATTAATGTTTCTTAAATTTGAGTTTGGAGTCTTCTGCAGCCTTATGAAACATACCAGGGAGGTGCTTGAGCTAAAGAATTCTGGATTACTTTTAGGTTAATCATCGGCTTTTGATCTGTTCAACTCACTTCTTCAGTGCTGATGTTCCCTTTTTTACTTTTTTTTTAATTACAGCATAAGAAAACATTTAATAGAGTCCAGAGTACAAGAAAACACTCAAACTTTAAATGATTGTTTCATAGACACCACATAAACAAGCACTCTCCATGTCAAAACAATTTCTATGGCAACTAAAATAAGAACAGGATAAAATTAAGATGCTGTTTGAAATGCATAGACAAACACTGTCTTCTAAAATATTTAGCTTTATTAGCGAAATGATACTAAAAATAAAGATTTAAACATTTGCTCTATTCTACTTACATATCATAAATAAGATAGCGGTTGATGCAAGACACACACTCCTTCACCATCTTTCCATATGCACCAAGCATTCTTATATCAGAATAAGCTGTTTACCAGCCATTGTAATCACATATGGTTGAATGATTAAAATGACCATCTATACTTTACATAGTAAAGCATTTCTAAAAATTTTAATGTATACAGTGACAAAAAGGAAAAAAATACCGTAGTAATTCTGGACATATGAAGAGTAATTAGGCAGCTTCGTAATCAAACCTGGCTTCTTTAATTGCAGTAAGGGCAATTCTTTCCATTCTCCACCAAATACGTGTTTTAATATATTAACATTAAATGACTTAATTTTCCTTCCTCCCTTCCAGCCTAAAATCTCTGTTATGGTGCAGAAAAAGAGATTGAGGTGTTGAGCTTTAAAGATTTTTTTCATTCATGGTGCTGGCAAAAATGTTTTCAGTGAGTGGGTGATACAGATCTTGGGATCTATATTTGGACAAGATTAACTCATAATTTTAGCAAAAAACAAATAGAGCATAGTGCCCATTTACTTACAAGTCAACATCAAGATCAAGGAGTTTTTGTGTATGTGAATTTGCCCTTCTGATTTGGTTTTAGTAGATATGACAATAAAATTCCCTATGTCTAGGAATAGAGAAAATCATTTTTTTAAGAGGGTATGAAGGATACTCAGGATCCCAGAAATATAGCAGTTTAAGCATGGGTACTTTCACAGGCATAAATGTGGTATGTGGTACTGGCATGTGGTCTTTTTAAATAGGAATTGTATGGAATGCTGGCCATATCATGAATTATAAGAAGCTAAAAATGATTCATGAGTAGGGTTGCTAAAGAACAAATGATAGAATGCGCCATCACTTTTTTACCTTTATGAGTTTGTTTTTGCTGGACCTTATTTATAGTGTGGCCGAAAACCTTAGTAATAATTTGGTAGAGCAGCTTAGGCATAAAGTGAGGCATGGTAGTGTCAGTGCAAGGTCGCTGGAGCCAAAGAAGCAGGAGCCTTAAGTTCCAAGTACTGTATTCCAGTGCCACAGCCATAGAATTATTTGAAGTTATATATCTATTTTAAAAATTTGTTTATGTATTTATTATCTATCTCCCTCTACTAAAATGTAACTCCCTGAGAGTAAGACTTTATAATTTTTCACCACTGTATCCTCATATCCTCACTCTTAAAATCGTACCTGGGAATTAGGATGTAAAATAAGTATGTGTTAAAATGATAATTGAAAGGTTATTAAATGTTTAGATGAGCTTTATAAATAGCTTTCAGAAATCTTAGGATTCATACATTTTCTCCTACCAAAGTAGATTTATTTTTATTCCTTACAAACTATGTTTAATAGAGATGATGATGATGCATTATAATAATCCTTTTAATATCAACAAATGGTGTTTTGGAGAAAGCCTAAAAAGATGGACTGGAAAGTATTTTGCAAATTTTTTTTTTTTTTTTAGCTGAGCCATCCTGCCACCTGTTGGCAGCTCAGCGGCAGCTCAGCTCGGGCTGGACTTGAACCGCTGTTGCTCAGAGCTCAAACCTTTGAGCAAGCTCTTAACCAACTGAGCCACTCAGCCGGCCCTTGCAAATATTTTTTAATTACCTATCAGAGAGTATATTAATAGATTGTAGATTATAGGCCCCAAAATAAAAGGTTTATCTCAATCTTGTTTCAAATGCTATTTCTCAGATCGTTATTCAATTCAGTGATGCTGGAAAAGAAATTTGTATGTGCTATTCTGTTGTCTGAGAGGGTCATGGGACTGATGAGCTATTGAAGTAAGGCTAGGGCATCTCGAAGGCTAAAAAAGGCCACGAAGCATCTGTGAAGCCTAGAAAAGCTTGTGTCAGCATTTAGTTTTATGAGAAATGGTTGCTGCTATGAGGAATGATTTCCTTTATTATTGCTTTGCTTTACTTTCATAGTTGTGCACCTTTTCTTTCTATTAGGTATAGTTTGAGTCTGCTTAACAATAGATTAAATGTTTAACCTATTTAACACCCCAACCATTCCATTCTTGCTAACTCATCTGTGGCCACACCTAGGACCTTGCCTCATTTCTGAGTTCTTAAACCCTAGTATTATGAGCTCCAGACTTAGCCGTCTGTCCAACAGCTCTCTTTTCCCCTATTCCCATTATAGTTGTTCTTTGACCTCTCTTGCATTTTGACTTTGTTAGCAGCCCTTTTGTCCTTCCTTACCTTTCTCTCATCCATCTCGGAGTGCTTGCTCCATCATTTATAACAAGGTTATGACATTAGACTGCTCTCTCCCATTTTCCGTAAAAGCTTATTTCAACTCAGAGCACTTCCTCTTGATCAGACTCGCACCTTGTTCACAGGGAAGTGGAAGCCAATCAGAAATCAAATCCCTGAACTTCCTATATCCCCCACAACCCTCAACCACCTTTGCAGCCACGCTCATTTATTAGCTTGCTTGCTTTTTTCGTTTTTTACTTCTTCTTCTCCAGTCTGGGTGCCTTTTATTCCCTTTTGCTTGCCTAACTACCCTGGCTAGAACCTCCAGTACAATGTTAAATACGTGGGGCGAGAGTAGATATCCTTGTTTTGTCTCTGATCTTAGGAGGAATGCATTCACTGTTTCACCATTAAGTAGAATGCTAGCTGTGGGTTTTTTGTAAATGCCCTTTAGCAGATTGAAGAAGCTCCTTTCTATTTCTAGTTTGTTGAGTGTTTTTATCATGAAAAAAAAACCCACATCTATTCAGATGATCATGTGGTTTTTGTCCTATATTCTATTAACATGGTATGTATTACATTATGTCTTTCCATTACTAGCTATGCTAGGTCCCACGTACTTCTGGATCTTTGGGATCTCTTCTGACTGAGTTTTCCTCTTAACTCTGTGGCTGCTTCCCAGTATCCTTCATAGTCTTTTTCCTCCATATGGTCATTCATTTAAGTCTGATTCTTCCTAGGTTCCTCATTGAATTCTCTTGGTGTCCAGAAGTTCCTCTAGACTTCTAATCCCATAAATTATTCCTCTGTGATCTCATCTACTTCTGTGGTTTCTCATACTCTACTATGTTGTTAACTTATAAGTCTTTATCACTCCTGAGTCCCAGCTCTGTTTATTAGACAGCCTCCTAAAAAGCTCCATTTAGATGTTCCTTTGGCATTTTACCCTCAGTTGAACTCTTCTTTCATATTTTCTGTTTCAAAGAAGGAACCTTTCGGTTCCTTAAAAGCTGAAAGTTACCCATGACTCCTCTTATTCCCTATTCCTATTAGGAGTCACCAAATCCTATGTGTTTTATTCCCTTCCTGTATTAAGAATGTGTCCTCTTCCTTCTACCACCAGACCTGGAGATTAGCTTTGACTTCCATAGTCCTTGTCTGGGTTATTGAATCTGCCCCTGACTGGTCATTCAACCTTTAGGCATTCTTTTCTTTCTCATCCCATAGTCTGTATTAAGTTCCTTGGGTGCTCCCTTAGTGCCCCATGGATACCTCTAACATTATACTCCTCACACTGTATTTAATCATATACTTACTTCTCTGTATCCTCCTCTGCACCATGAGTTTCTTTAAGAGCAGGGACCACCTCTTAATCATCTTTATATTCTTAACACCTAGCCTAATGCATGACTGTAATATATATTTGTTGTTGGTTTGTTAAATAAGTAAATTAATCACTATCAAAAAATTCAGTATAAAAGGAAAAAAAACTCCGTGTTGGGAGACCTAAAGATAGAGAGAGCAGTGAATTCTAACTTGTAAGGGATGCCTTTTGAGAACATACAGTTGTTTGGAACATACGGTTGTTTGAAACATATGGTTCTGTGGGGGTAGTGTGGTAGGTGGAAGTTGAACCAGATTGTCAAAAGCCTTGAACACCATGCTAAGAAGACTGGCCTTCATTTCCCTGAACATTGTGAAACTCTGTAAAAGTTATTGAGTGAGGAAGAGATGCTCAAAATTTGATTTGAGGAGGCTATCCCAAGCAGCAGAATGGATTGGATCGAGATAAGAGATGTTAACTAGTAGTCCAATGTAGTGCTCTAGGCAAGAGATAATGAGGACTTTTACATAGGACAGTGGGAATGTCTGAAGACCGGCTTTAGACATTTGCTGGTAGGATTTGAGCTGTGAGAAAAAGAAAAGTTGTAGATTATTTCAAGATTTTTAATGAGAGGTATGAGATTTTAAGGAATAACATGGGAGACTGGTTGGATGGAGGGGCCATGAAAAGGGAACCAGGAAGAGGAAAACTTTGGAATTTAGATTATATAGAGTACTGTTTTATACCCATCTAATGTGAGGTTAGCAGAATCTCCATGTAAGGATAGGATATAGGCATTTGGATCTAAAGTTCAGGAAAGAACTTAGGAGTAGTAATAGAGATTTGTGAATCATTTACATAAAGGTGAGCATTGAAGCCATGCCAGTAGATAAGGAAATTAGATGGGATGTTCCTTTATGGGACACCCTAATGCAGCAAATGGGAAAGTCAGCGTTATTAAAAGCTGCTTCTTAGTTTTACCTTTAGATAACAATTCATGCCACTCAAAATCACCTTCTGTGTCCCTTGTACTAGACCCCAAAAACAGGACAGGAGATGATGTTTGGATGAGTTTGGAATAAAGAATTTGCAGAATATATTTTCAGAGCTTTTAAAGAATCATATGATAGTATATTGTACATCATTACATTTTATATTTAAAGGAACTCCTGAATTGAAATTTTAGTTGTCTTTATATTATATAGTAGTGCTTGACAGAGTATGATGAGAGGGCTTCTTGCAATAGACTTATCAAATATACTTAATAACATTTGAGGTATCTAGCTAGGCCTTATTGTATATCAACTGAATCTGAATCTTTGGGGTAAGGCCAAACTTCTCTTTAATGCCCTCAAGTTTGAAAGTCACTGATATACATGATGAAATTGCTGCTTTATTGAGTTTAAAAACTGGAATCCTTTTGAGATTGCCATTTTGATGGCAGAGAATAAAGGAGACATTACTTTCCATTTGTATTCTAAAAATGTGCTAACTTATATATACCTTTCTTTCAGTTAAGTGTGCGAGGGAAAAATAAAAAAGAGAAACTTGAAGATTTTTTTAAAAACATGGTTAAATCAGCAGATGGAGTAATTGTTTCAGGAGTAAAGGTAAGACTTTATCTGATTAACAGAAGTATTGGATTGAGAATTTACCCCTTTTAAGAGGGAGCTAGAGTGAGATTTCAGATGTGCCGAAGATTATACTGGAATAAAAGAGAAGTTTGAGGGCCGGCCGAGTGGCTCAGTTGGTTAAGAGCTCGCTCAAGAGTTTGAGCTCTGAGCAACAGCGGTTCGAGTCCAGCCCGAGCTGAGCAGNAGAGAGAAGTTTGGACAGTAGAATCCTTAGGCCTGGGGAACTGGGCCCTCAACACTCCTCAGAGAGCTCCCTTCTCCAGGGGTGAGAGGCCTGCAGATCCAAGGGGATTTGCCCGCCTGGAGCCCAGGCTCCTTCCCTACAGGCCAGACCGTGTTCCAGTTATCTAGAACTCCGTATTTCCTTGGCCAAATCCTAAGCCTTTTTCCAGGTTCTGTGTGGGCTTTTTTCCTGAGTTCATCCTCCAGGGGGTAGACTGTGCCACTGGTTTGTTCATGCCATGGACGGTCAACGGGTGACGATGAGAAAGCTGAGCAGAGGGAAGGCACAAGGGAGAAGATCAGTGTGCAGGATGGGGTGTCCAGCCACGTGCATAGTGTGAGGTCCCCCTGGGTGCCCTGCAGAGCTACAGGGTAGACACAAAGAGGGACTGTCTCCACCTGTACACTTGCCCTTGGTCTTAGAAATGTTAGGGGCAGACCTGGATCCAGATTGGGAATTAGAAGAGCTCAGTTGTTTTTTATCTTGTCTCGTAGTAGCTTGAGAAAAATCACTTTCTTGCTCTGAATCTTGTCTTTCACATTTTCAAAATGTGGTTAATAATACCACCTGGCTCACAGAACTGTTTGAAAGATTGAATAAGACATATGTGTGAAAATATTTAGAAAGTTAATTATTTACCTAAATAATATCTAAACTTTTCTTAATGATCTAGAAATGGTACAGAATTGATTTATCTGAAAACTTATTAAAATATAAGAGGAAAATGCTTATATAGCATTATTAAGCAAATACTGAGATAAATATTGCTACTTTGTCATCATTACCTGTATTTAGATACAGCTACAATAAAACAGGTGTGAAGTACTATTTATTTGATTTTACTTTGGTTTTTCAGAGAGAGGTCAATTGGTATGTTGACTGTGCGTGTGCTATTGCTACTTTCTAATAAGGACCCAGCTTGCTTCCATTTTGATGCTGCTTATGCACTAATCTTGAACGTTTTTCTTAGCAGTTAATGTAAACCACTATATTGATTATGCTTTTCATAAGTTTATTAGTAAAATCATGACGAACATTTTTTGAACATGTACAGTGTCGTGTTTGGTAGCCCACATTTTCTTATTTAGTCTTCACTACAACCCTGCAGGTTAGATAGTGTTATCCCCATTTTTACAGTTAAGAAAACTGGTATACATGAGTTACAGATTTTAAATGACATTTTGTTGGTACTAACTTTTACTTATTGTGTTCTGTTGTTGTGGATCTCAAATTACATTTCAACTGCTGCTTTTTCAGTAAACGATTGGTATTTTAGAAGGGAGGAAAGTAATGTTAATAGTTTTGTTTTGTTTCTTAAGATATTGGGGAATTGGGGGAGGGGAACAGACAAGGTGCTTTTGTTCTTCAGTCTAGTTGTGGAGGGCGGCGCTTCACTGGCCCATGTTGGTATTGTCATTGTGCTCTTCCCAGGTGAGGCAGATCGGTCGCCGGCCATTGGACGGCTGCTCAGGGCGGCTCTCAGCAGCTCACGCCTGCTGCCGGCCACTCACGGTAGCTTACCGCAGCCCACTGCAGTCCCACTGCAGCCTGCACTGGCGCCGGCGACTCACAGCAGCCCAGCTCCAGGTGGAGCTGTTGTTCACCATCTTGGCTGTAGAGGACGCAGCATCACTGGCCCATGTGGGATCCGAACCAGCGGCCCTGCTGCTCAGAGCTTGTGCTCCCAAGCCAACTCTTAACCAACAAGCCACTCGGCCAGCCCCAATAATTTTTATTTTTAATGTTTATCTGGCTTTGTTCCAAAAAAGAGTGAAGACAGTGGTTAATATGATAATTGTCCCAGACAGCAGTGAGGGCCGTCATGACTAAGGCCTGGCAGGCAGCCTTTAGGAATGGCCCATAGAATACATAAAAGCCCAAGAGAAATAGACTTTTACTTGTTTCTCAAAAGCAATTGGTCACTCTCACTGGCAGTAATGTATTTGTTGGAGTATAGAGCAGAGCAGAGCAGAGCAGGAACACGTTTTAGAGTGCAACATGTGAAGGTGAACTGTATGGGTAGCTGCAAAACCATAGATGTCTTACTTGCTATATCGATAAAAATGCATGAATGAACTTGGTGTAATCAGTATAACATCTGATTATTAAAGGATAACAGTGCTGTTTTACTGATCATCTTTTATGATTATAATGATAACAAAATGTTTTACATCACACTAAAGCAAAAAAGTGAAAAAAGTTCCTATTTTGATCCTATAGGACGTGGATGATTTCTTTGAGCATGAACGAACATTCCTTCTAGAATATCATAACCGAGTTAAGGATGCATCTGCTAAATCTGATAGGATGACAAGATCCCACAAAAGTAAGGTTTTTCTCTGTGGCTAAAGCTGATAGTGGTTTATGAAATAATTACATAAAAAGTTACATTATTTACAGTTTGTGAAAGTCTTGATACAGAGTGGTGTTTCTTAAACTGGTCTATGGAGCCTTGACTCCAAGGCCCTTTTTATTTTTAGCAAGCCTGTGAGGTCAAAACTATTTTTATAATAATACTATGCTTTTTGCCTTTTTCACCATGTTGACATTTATACTGATGATGCAAAAGCTGTGGTGGATAAAATTGCTGGTGCCTTAGCACAGATCAAGGCAGTGACACCAAACTGTCCTAACAGTCACTGTATTCTTTCCCTCGGTGCATTTTCAGTTTAAAAAATGTTTAATTAAGAGTGTCCCTGATGAAGCAGTATAAATTATTAATTAGCTCTCCCTTGAGTACACTTTTTGTATTCTGAGTAATGAAATGGGGAGGTATACATAAAGCACTTTGTGTACTGAAGTATGATGGTTCTCTCTAGAAAAGCATTTTAGTGATTGAGTTGCAACTGAACTGGCTGCTTTTTTCAAAAAATACCATTTTTATTTGAAAGAATAATTGGCAGACAAACTGTCATTATTCAGACTTCAATATTTGGTAGACATTTTCTTAAAAATTAAGCGAGCCTGTCACTTCAAGGAAAACAACTCACAGTATTTGTTGACAATGATAAAAATAAAGTTTTCCAGCAATAATTGGAATTTTGGAAAACTTGTCTCCATCACCATGAGCTTGCTTCCCAATAATTAAAGACTTGTCTGAGGAGATTGCTATTAGTGAATGTGATATTTTTGATATTGTATACCAAAATGTGTTAACATTTCATAAGTGTGTCAATATTTGCATAATTCATTGAACCGATATTTTCTAAATTATCAAGTGCATGGTGTTACAAAATCATGTATGTAAAAGATCCATTCAAAGTGCAAGATAGACTAAGTGTTTTTAACAGCTTTATTGAGGTATTTTTGATATAAATAAGATGCAGTGTTCAGAGTATACCATTTGATATGTTTTGATGTATATACGAAATTGTCATTATAGTTAAATTAAATGAAGGTATCCATAACCACCAAAAGTTTCCTTGTGGCCCTTTGTAATTCCTCCCTCCCATCCCTAACCCCAGGCAACCACTGATCTGAGTTCTGTCTTTATAGGTTAGTTTGTATTTCCTAGATTTTATGTAAATGGAATTATGTAGTATGTATACTTTATTGTCTTGCTTTGAAATTCAACAAATTTATTTTGAAATTCATCCATGTTGTATATATCAATAGTTCATTCTTATTGCTAAGTGGTATTCCATTTTATGGATATGCCACAGTTTATTCAGCAGTTGGACATTTGGGTTGTTGCTAGCTTTTGCCTATTACGAATAAAGCTTACTTACATGAGCCATCTATATGTAAGTCTTTGTTTGGCCATATGCTTCCATTTCTCTTGGGTACTACTTAGCAGAATGACTGGGTTATGTGGTAAATGTGTAGAATTAACTTTAAAAAATTGCTAGACATTTTACATTCCTACCAACTGTGTATGGGAGTTGCTCTTCATTCTTATCAACAAGGATAACCAGTCTTTAATTTTAGCCATTCTAATAGGTCAGTAGTGGTGTCTGGTTTGGTTTTAATTTGCATTTTCCTAATGACTAATGATGTTGAACATCTTGTCTTGTGTAAGGCCTCCCACTTCATTCTTTTTTTTTTTTTTAACTTTATTGGGGAATACTGTGTTTTTCCTAGGACCCATCAGCTCCAAGTCCAGTCACTGTTTTCAGTCTAGTTGGGGGGGGGGGGTTGTGCAGCCCACCATCCCATGTGGGAGTTGAACTGGCAACCTTGTTAAGAGCATGCGCTCTCACCAACTGAGCCATCTGGCCGCCCCCACTTGATTCTTTATCAAAGTTTTTTTGGCTCTCTACGTTTCTTACATTTTCATATGGATTTTAGAGTCAGCTTGTCACTTTCTACAAAAATACCTGCTGGGATTTTTGATTGGGATTGTGTAGAATCTGTAGATTAATTTGGGGAGAATTGGCATTTTAAATTAATCTTCTGATACATGAAAATGGTATACTCTCCATTTAGTTAGGTCTTTAAATTCTCTCAGCAATGTTTTACAGTTTCCATTGTACAGATCTTATACATCTTTAGTTAGATTGAGTCCTAATTACATTTTGAAGCTATTGTAAATAATGTGTTTTTTGCATTTTAATTACCAGTTGTTCTTTGCCAATGTATAGAAATACTGTGTGTTTTCAATATTGATCTTATATCTTGCAACCTTACAAATAAACTCACTAGTTCTAGTAACTATTTTTTAGATTCTGTAGGATTTTCTACATAGATGATCATCTGCTAATAAAAACAGTTATACTTCTTCTTTTCCAATTTGGATGCCATTTCTTTTCCTTGCCCCCATTGTACTATACCTCTACCCTCCACTACAGTGCTGATGGAAGGGGTGAGGGCAGGCATCTTTGCCTTGTTCTTATCTTATGGGGAAAACATTCAGTCTTAAACCATTAATTATGATGTTAGGTGTAGGTTTTTCCTAGATGGCTTTTATTAGGTTGTGGAAATTCTCTTAAATGCCTAGTTTTCTGAGAGGGCTTTTCAAGTCGGGAATGAATGTTAGATTTTGTCAGATGCTGTTTTTGCAACTACTGAGATAGTCATATAGTTTTTCTTCATTAGTCAACTAATATGGTTAATTGCATTGATCGATTTTTCAAAGGTTAAATCAATCTTATATTCTTGGGATAATTATCATTTATACCAATAGAGTTTAATGTAACAGAATACAAAAAGTTTATAATTTTAGATTTACCACTGCACTAACCCTTAAAGAAATTATTTGTTGAGTTTTGATGTGGTGTCAAAGAATATCCACAATTATCTGAAAATATTAGTAAAATACTTCTTCCTTTTCCAGCTACACATTTGTTTGAGGCTAGATTTTTCTCCACGTACTTGAACAAAAGCATTACATCACAGGAGATTGAATGCAGAAACAGATGAGAGAATCTAGGTGTCTTCTATTAAGCCATACACAAAAGAGAGTCACAAAAATGTAACAATGTCCCTCTGCTCACTAATTTTAAAATATAGTTATTTTTCACTTGAAATATTATTTATATTAACATATAATGGTTTTAGTATTGCTATTTTAACATGAAATAGTAAATATAAACTTTTTTTATTAAAAAAATACAATGCATATTGATAGACATAAACCACATAAACAAAAGCTATTTAGAGTTCTCAGTAATTTCTAAGAGTAGAAAAGAGTCCAAAGACCAAAAAGTTTGAAATCCTCAGATACAGAGACAAGTCTGTAGGTACCTAGAAATATGAACCTCCATTTTGGGGTATTGTTACATGCTGTAATAAAAAGAAGGAAATAAAGAAGTCTCTGGCTTGGTAACTTCTTATATCATTCTTTTGGGAGGGTTAAGAGTTATTTTTATATTTTATTTTCTTATGCCTCTGTGATTTGCAGATTTCTTCTAATGAAGTAGTATTTTATACTTGCCAGTTGAGTAATTAAGAACTATAAAGTAAAAATGTGGGAAACTTGGGCTGGCCGAGTGGCTCAGTTGGTTAAGAGCTCACTCAAGAGTGTGAGCTCTGAGCAACAGCAGTTCAAATCCCAGCCCGAGCTGAGCTGCCAACAGGTGGCAGGATGGTTCAACTAAAAAAAAAAAAAAAAATGTGGGAAATTGGAATTCCTTCCTAGATTAATTACTGATTTGTATCAGAGGCTTGGACAAGTCACATAATTGGTCTTATGTTGATTTCCTTGTGACATTAAGGATAAAATATCTCATATTTTTACTCCTCTATTAAAGAGAAACTTTGTCCCAGCCTATCCGCTCCCAGCTCCTCCATCAGGATCTGCATTTACTTCCCTATTCCCTAATACACCCAAGTCACGTAGCACACCAGATGGACTCCAGATGTACCCCTTTTGCCTTCCTGGGAAACCCCATACTCCTCCCACCCTGACCAGGCCCTGGCCTCAGCCCATGAGCTTCCACTCCCCCCAAAACAGAAAAACTTTGCAAACTTGAAACGGTACATATTAGTGTTGATTGTAATAATTAGGAATACCCTTATGTTTAGATTTGATCATGTAAAATAGAATCATACTATTTTAATTTCTTAAAAAATTATTTAGTTCAAAAACATTGGCATATAGTATCTATTATGTGCCAGCCATCAGTGATTTCAAGATGAAGAAAATATAGTCTTTGCCCTTAAGGAGTTAATAATTTTGCAGGCAAGATAAACATAAAAAACAAAAACTTACAATATATTGTAATCAGTCCTATTATAGAGGTGCATATTGGTGCTATGGAAATAAAGAACTACAAAGGTAGAGAATCATCTGTTAAGAAAACTAAAGAAAATATTAGTGATTCTTACTAATTCTATTATTTAGCCAAATGGAATGGTTCTTTAAGATAAATGATAGTGAAACTATTTTACAAAATTATAAAAACTTTTTTCATAATTAATGAACTTACCATGGCTATGAAAAATTAAGCTTTTTAGCATCAGTGAAATGTATAAAATCAGGGCTATTTGTATATTTTTTGTGATCATTTAATGACATAATAGCTACAGAGGACAGTGTTCTCAGAGCCAGATATCATTAGAATCCAGGAATTTCTTGCTCTAAAAAAATAATTTCATGGTCAGTTTAAGCATAAAATACTAATGTATTTGATATTAAAAATAATGTTTTGTTCCTACCACGATAAACCAACCTTTAAAGTGATTTTTAAGTTCGGGGTTTTTTTTTTAACTTAAACTTTTTTTTAAACTTAAACAGGTGGAATCATCTGTTTACCCTGTCCCCAAAGTAGTTTGTGCCTACTTCTATACTCATCATATTATAGTTTTTCTAATTTCCTTCACTATATTTTGGGTATCTCATGTTACATACACATTGTTTGGCAGGTAGGTGTTCAGTAAGTATTTTTGAATCAATGAATAAATATATTCTTAAAACTTTTTCCATAGGTGCTGCAGATGATTACAATAGAATTGGTTCTTCATTATATGCTTTAGGAACTCAGGATTCTACAGATATATGCAAGTAAGGATTCTGATTAAAAACCATTAAATATAAAGAAAACAAAAATTTTGTTGGCAGCCTGGGCATACACAATACTTCAAACATTTTGGAATATTTTTGTCAAAACACATTGATAATAAGGAGCTTCTTTATAAACTTAGGTCGGTGTCAGTTTTTCTCTTTCCTTTCTTATTTTTTAAATCTGAGAAATAAAAATAGACCTTAATGCAATATTTTTAACTTTTACAAAGTTTGATGAAAATGGACTGATTTGTGGGTATGAGAGAGAGAAGGAGAGACAGAATTTGTGTCAAACTGTGCTTAGTTTTGATAAAGTTTATTAGAAATTTAAAATGCTGTTTGGAATTAGAATATATATTTATGTATTTCATTGGAAGCCAATTTGGTTGAAGTAAAATTTGATCCTATCAGTTTGCACTTTTTAAAGAGGCTGGCTGGCTATTCTAGTTTTTATAGTTTAGTGAATGTTGGGGCCACAGGATGGGGAAGGTGTATTGTGCATGTTAGTGTAGAAACGCTCTCTGGAAGTTTGCTTACACAGCTTTCCCTTATTTACTTTATGCTAGTTTTTTACTTTAATTGTAATCTAACCATAGGTAATTTTAGTTCCTCCTATAATAGTGTTTAAACCCAACTCTTCATTGAAAAGTAATTCATACTTTTTAAAAAATGTTAAGTGGAAAAACTATTTTCATAGTTTATGCCTACCTCTAAACCACATCCTTGAACTTCTCTCTAGTATATCCTCTCGTTAGGCATTTAAGATCCAAGCTTTTCAACAAAGCGAGGCTTACACTAATACCGTAGCTTACACTAATAACCATGCCAACTTCCCAAAGAGTTGTTCTTAAATCTTTGATAAGAAGAAACAAAAAGAACCTTGCCATGTGTTATCTTACATAAACCTGTCAAAGCAAGTTCTTTTAAATAAGCAAAGTTCATAAAATTGTGTTTTAGCCTTCAATAGTATTTGCCCTAATCCAGTTATGTCATCTGTAATTACATATTTTATAGAATACCTTTTAATAGTTTGGCATTCGGATATTTTTTTGGCTGGTTATCAGCATTTGAGAAAGGCTGTTTAGTTAAAAGTGAAAGTAAATTGTGAGAAGTTGGGTATTCATTTCTGTTATTTTCCAAAACAAAGCAACTTTATTTGAAAATGTTTAAAACATAACTATCATATATCTTCAAGAACTGCTCCAGCCTCAGTGTTTTCCTTTTAAATCAGCCTTTTGTCTCTTTGCATGTGATTGTTCTATAAGAATTTTGGAGGTATAGGCTTTTTTTAGTATCATGCGGCATATTACTAAAGAAAAACAAGACAATTTTTTTAGAGTTTTAATGTATGGCTTAGACTGTTACCCTGAAATGAGAAATTTTTCTGTAACAAAGATTTCAAATCTGTTGTGGGTAGAAGTACAAAGAGATTTTTGTTGAACTAAATGAAGTAAACAAGAACATTAAATATTATTATAATGAAATAAGAATGTTCATTATTATTGTAATGAAATAAGAATGCTCATGGTTTGGTGTCATTATGTATTCTCTGAACATTTCAAATGGAAAATTATTTAAAGGTAGCTTCTGATGAAATATTTTTCTCTTCCAGGTTTTTCCTCAAAGTTTCAGAACTGTTTGATAAAACGAGAGTAAGTACTGTTCATTAAACTTTGGTAATCTAAAGCTGTGCATACAGTGGTGTTTTAACTAGTGTCTCTGTTTCACTTAGTTGAGGAAGATGAGTTATACTTCAGAAGGATGAAGAAACAGATTTAGATTTGAAAATTTGAGAAATTTTCAGGAAATTCCGTTGTATTATGGCCTTTTGTTATTTATGTAGATGTTCATATTCTTGATCAGAAACATGTTCATTATGGATACTTGGTTTATTTTTATGAAAAAATTTCCTTTGTAAGCTAGAAGAAAGTCTTAGATTCATTATAACATTACCAAGACTATACTCCTTTTGATTCCCCTTGACTCACAGGTTTAAAAGTGAGTTGTGTCAATATGAGGCAAATATATATACATCTGCAGATAGGTTTCATTCATAGTAGTAATAATTTACTATTGACAATCTTGGTTTTCAGGGATTGGTCCTACATACAATAATATTTAACATTTTAATCACTTGATAAAATAGTGAAAATGTTTATTAGCTGTTGAATGGTACTTAGATGAGAGTGGTAATGTCTAGTTCATTGTAGAAATCTGATTTCAGCATGACCTTTTCAAATGAGTGATGTGTAGTGGAGACAAATAAAAGAAAAAGAGATATTCTCACACAAAGGAAAAAGTCCTTAAATATATAAATGTTGTTATATTGGGGTCCATATAGCCCATTCTGCCTTTGATCTTTGTACCAATGAGCATTTTCTGGGAAGATGAGTTTTGTGTGTGTGTGTGTGTGTGTGTGTGTGTGTGTGTGTGTGTGCATTTACATCATAAGAATAGAGATCTATAACAAAATAGCCTTATGTGTCAGTTCTTTCAGAAGCAAGTGTCAAGATAGGATTAGGTGTGCAAGAGACTTATTATGAGGAACAAAGGAAGGTACAGGAATAGACAGGAAGACAGACCACAATGCAGGCCTAAACATGTGAAAGGAGAAGGTAGAAGAAGGAGTACTGGGTAGGAAGAATTTCAGACTGTATCACAGTTCTAAGAAAGTTTTGTCAGTCAAAGGGGTGTCCCTGAGCCACAGTTACTCATTAGAGAAGTTGTGCATCAGGCAGGACTAGGCTGGCACTACTACCCACTGTGTTCTGTGATTGGCTGGGTACAGCCAAGGCAAGGCGGGGGAGGATGGAACATTATCTTGGCACAAACGTGATTCTGGATCCAGAGCAATTGCACTGGGAGCTGTCAAATAACTGCTCTTTGCAGCATGCAATTTCTCCCTGTCTCTCCCCCTCCCCGCTTTTTTTTTTTTTTTTTTTAATCTCCTACAGGTGTCTGCTTCTTTGTGGTTCTGCCTCATTTCTTCACTTGTGCCTAGCATGAATGACTGGCCCCCTCTCCCTCCCTTTGACCCCTTTCCTTTAAGAGGATCCTCAGCCCAGTGGAGCAGAGAGAGGGACCTGTTCTGTGTCTGGAACCCTTTTGGGACCATTTAGATTGGCTCAAGTGATAACCTAGCAACCTAGGCCGCCTCCCTCTCTCTATGGCCTGATGTTAGTCCTTTTCTTCCAGCTCAGTTTGTTTGATACTCCTAAGATGGGGCTAGGGAAAATCAAAGTAAGCAGTTTTTAAAAATGATAATTTGCTCCCCTGCTATTAAAGAAGAACAGTGCTTCCAATAATTCAGAAACCATATGTATCAGTTTTGAGAATCCATTCTAGAAATCACTTGCTGTTCTTAGGTTATAGGTTTTATTTTAATTTTTAATATTTTGTTATTTTTTAATTACAGTTGACATATATCATATTAGTTTCAGATATACAATATAGTGATTAGATATTTATATAACTTTACAAAGAGATCGCCCCGATAAATCTAGTACCCATCTGATATCATACGTAGTTATTACAATATTATTGACTGTATTTCCTATGCTGTACTTGACATCCCCATGACTATTTTGTAACTAACAATTCTACTTCTTAATCCCTTCCCCTTTTCTACCAATTCTCCCAACTCCCCTTTCCCTCTCCCACCCACCCCCTCCCCCCAAAAAAATCTGGCTACCATCAAAATGTTATCTGTATCTATGAGTTTGTTTTGTTTTTTTTAGATTCCACATATAAGTGAAATCATATGGTATTTGTCTTTCTCTGACTTATTTCACTTAGCATAATACCATCTAGGTCTATTCATGTTTTTGCAGATAAGAAAAATTCATTCTTTTTTATGGCTGAGTATTATTGTTTTATATATGTTCCACTTCTTTATCCATTCATCTGTTGATAGGAACTCAGGTTGCTTCTGTATCTTGGCTATTATAAATAATGCTACAGTGAACATATGAATGCATATGTCTTTTCAAATTAGTGTTTTGGATTTCTTGGTTAAATACTCAGAAGTGGAATTACTGGATCTTTCTTTATCTCTTGTTATAGCCTTTTGTTTTAAAGTCTAATATAAGTATTGCTGCCCCAGCTTTTTTTTTTTTTTTCCATTTTCATGAAATATCTTTTTCCATCCCTATACTTTCAGTCTGTGTGTCTTTCGATCTGAAATTGAGTCTCTTGTAGGCAACACATGTAAGGGCCTTGTTTTCTTACCCATTCAACCACCCTATGTCTTTTGATTGGAGCAATTAGTCCATTTACATTTAAAATAATTATTGATAGTTATGTAGTTATTGCCTTTTTATTATTCGTATATTTTAATCTTTTTTTTTTTTTAAGATTTTATTGGGGAATTGGGGAAGGGGAACAGCCAACTTGTCCTTCAATCTTAGCTGTGGAGGGCACAGCCAGCTCAGCTCCCAAGTCCATTTGCCATCCAGCCGCCCGTTGGCAGCTTGCGGCCGCTCAGCTCAAGGTGCCTTGTTCAATCTTAGTTGCGGGTGGGCATAGCCCACCATCCCATGCGGGAGTCAAACCAGCAACCTTGTTGTTAGGAGCACGTGCTCTCACCAGCTGAGCCATCCTGCCACCTGTTGGCAGCTCACCTCGGGCGCAGCTCACTCGCCCATGTGGGAATCGACCCAGCGACCCTGTTGCTCAGGGCTCGTGCTCTTAACCAGCTGGGCCACTTGGCCAGCCCTATCTTTTTCTTCTTAAAAAAGTCCCTTTAACATTTCTTGTAATGTTGGTTTGGTGGTGATGAACCCCTTTAGTTTTTTCTTGTCTGGGAAGCTCTTTATCTGTCCGAGTCTAGATGATAGCTTTGCTGAGAAGAGTAATCTTGATGATCAGTCCTTGCTTTTCATCTATTTGAATATTTCATTCCAATCCCTTATGGCCTACAAAGTTTCTGTTGAAAAATCAGCTGATTATATTATGGGAGCTCCTTTATTGGTAACTAACTGCTTTTCTCTTGCTGCTTATGAGTCTCTCTTTGTCGTTAACCTTTGGCATTTTAATTTTGATGTGTCTTGGTGTGGGCCTCTTTGGGTTTATCTTGTTTGGGATGCTACACTTCCTGGGTTTGTACGTATATTTCCTTCGCCAGATAAGACAAGTTTTCCATCATTATTTCTTCAAATAGGTTTTAAATTCCTTGCTCTCTCTCCTTCTAGTACCCCTATGATGTAAATGTTGTCCCAGAGGCTCCTTAAACTGTCCTCATTTTTTGGATTTGTTTTCTTTTCTCTGTTCTGACTGGGTGTTTTCTGCTACCTAATCTTCCAAATCACTGATTTGATCCTCTGCTTCATCTAATCTGTTGATTCCCTCTAATGTATTTTCCATTTCAGTTATGGTATTCTTCATTTCTGACTAGTTCTTTTTTATGTTTTCTCTCCCCATTTTTATGTTTCCTATCTCTTGTTCTCCGTGAGATCATTGACCATCCTTATAAGCAGTGTTTTGAACTCTGCATTTGTCTCCATTTTGTTTAGTTCTTTTTCTGGAGCTTTGTTCTGTTCTTTCATTTGGGACATGTTTCTTTGTCTCCTCATTTTGACAGTCTCCGTGTTTGTTTCTATATAGTAGATAGAGCTGCTATGTTTTCCAGTCTTAGTAGAGTGGCCTTTTGTAGTAGGTGTGCTGTGGGGTTCAATGGCACAGTCTCCCTGGACACCTGAGCCAGCTGCTGCAGGTGTGTGCTTTGTGTGGGTTGTGTGTGCCCTCCTTCTGTAGTTGAGCCTTGATTGCTGTTGGCATTTAAGTGGCAGGGATTAATTCTTAGGCTGATGGGTTGTGAGGACTGGCCGTGGCTACAGTGGAGGGGCTGTGGTGCAGGGGCTGACCCTATGGAGCAGGATTCGCTTTAGCAGGGCTCTGGTGCTTGCCCAGTCTGCCCTTTGGGTGTGTCATCTGTGGAGGTGGTTGGGTGGTGCCCTGGTGTGGTCTGAAGCTGGCCACCAAGTGTGTTTGTTGTTGAGCCTCTTGGGAGAGGCTCTGGTGCATTACAAGGTCAGCCACTGCCTGAGCCCTGTCCAGGGCCACTTGGTATGAGCTACAAAGTGACCTGCAGATGGTTGCCATTTGTGCTGGGCTTGGAGGTACCCGGAGAGGCTAAGCTGCAATGTGAGGCCAGCTGCTGCTAGTGCTATTTGGGGCTGCTTAGCAAGAGGTACAGGACACACTGAGACCAGACTCTGTTTGGGGTTTGTGAACATTTGAGAGACTTTAGGAAAATCTATAGCATGGAAAAGATACTGGAAGTGGCCTGGGTGAGCCCACAAGTTGGATGAGGTGGGGTCTCAGGGAATCACCAAGGCAGGGCAAACGATGTTAGCTAGGTTAATGGAGACTTTGATATGGTCCCCGTCTGCTTGCACAGGCAAGGTTGGGAGAGCTCTCAACAAAGGAACAGTGGCTTCTGCTGGCACTTCGGCCTGGGAGAAAGCTTCCCCTGTAGTCCTCATCCAGAAGCCAGACAGTTCAGTTTCTCCCCATATGTCCCTGGTCCCTTTTAATCTGCTGCCCCAGCTCTAGAGCTAAGAGCAAGTGAGTTTGTCAGCAAGTAAGTCCATGTATGGGCCCGTTAATTGACGTGTCTGGGACTCCAGCAACCCTCTATCTCACTCAGTACAATCTCTGCTGGTTTTCACAGCCGGAAGTTATGGGGGGGCTTCTATTCTCATCATTGGAACCCTGGACTGGGGAGCCTATTGTGGGACTGGGACCCCTCACTTCTCGAGGGGGGGCCTCCACAGCTAAGATATCCCTCCCAGTTTTTAACAGCCACACGTGGGTGTGGGACCAGCCCTTTCGTGTCTCCATGTCTCGTCAGTCTCGATGTGGTCTCTGTATACCCTTAGTTATAAGACTTCTGTTCAGCTAGACTTTAGGCAGTTCTCAGTGATGGTTTTTCTGTAGTTCAGTTGTAATTATGATGTTGTCGTGGGAGGAGGTGAGCACAGCATATACTTATTCTGCCATCTTGACAAGAAGCCAGCAAGCAATTTCTCTTGCAAGAGATCAGAGTGGCATATTTCCAAATACTTATTTTTTTTAGTGTTTACATGTTGTTCTGGTTATTCTTGCTGTGTAACAAACCATCCTAAAGTCAGTAGCTTAAAACTGCAGCCATTTTATTATGCTAATGAATTCTTTGGGTTAGGAATTTAGAAGGGGCGCAACATTGCCTCTGCTCCCTGATGATCTCAGCAGGGCCGATAATGAAGGCTGGGGCTGGAATCATCTGAATCACACATATGTCTGGGGTTCATACTGGCTGTCAGCTGGGATTTCTGCTCGGGCTGTTGGCTTTAACACATACACATGGCTTTTCTATGGAGCTGCTTAGGCTTCCTCACAACACAGTGGCTAGTTTCTAAAAGTGAGCGTCCCAAAACATGACAAATGGAAGCTGCTAGTTTATAAGGCCTGAGCCTGGAAACTTGCACATCACTTTTGTATTGGTCAAACAGTCTTAGAGCTCGTCGGCCGAGTGGCATGTTGGTTAAGAGCTGGCTTAGGACGCCAGCTCTGAGCATCAGGGTCCCGGTTTGGATCCGACATGGGGCCAGTGACACTGCCCTCTACAGCTAAGATGGTGAACAACAGCTCGACCTGGAGCTGCGCTGCCGTGCGTCGCCGGTGATGGCGTAGGCTGCAGCCCCTGCTGCAGTGGGCTGCCATAAGCTACCGTGTGTGGCCGACAGCCAGCATGAGCAGCCGGCAGGCAGCCGGTGTGAGCTGCCAAGAGCCGCCGTGAGCTCCCAAGAACCACCGTGCGCAGCCGTACAGAGGCCGGCAACCTATCTGCCTCACCTGGGAAGAGCGCAGTGATAATACCAACATGGGCCAGTGAAGCAACGTCCTCCGCAACTAGACTGAAGAACAAAACAACAGCAACTTGTCTGTTCCCCTTCCCCCGATTCCCCAGTGCTGTTCCCCTCCCCCAATTCCCCAATAAAATCTTTTTTAAAAAAAACAGTCTTAGAGCTCAGGTTCAAGGGGAGAGGCACATACCATAATGTAAGGAGAGGAGCCATATTTAAAAACACCCAACATCCATGTAGCAAGTTATCTAAATTTACCGAAATTTATCTAAGTCAATTTTGAATCTGTTAAGAAGTTCCAGAAGTTTATTTCTCCATAAAGTAATATTTTTTAAGAAGCGTCAAGTGTTTTCTGACTGTTTTGAAGTATATTATACATATAGGAAAGAGCACATAGCAGAAATGTACATCTCAGTGAAATTTTACAAATTTAACACATCCATGTAATGAACACCCAGATCAAGAAAGAAAACATTACCAGCAACCCAAATGCCGTGGCCCGCCCCCCCTTCAGCTGCCTTCTGAGTCACCACCTCCTGCAATGGTAACCACTATCCTAGCTTCTAACAGCATAGATTAGTTCTATTTTCATATTTTATATAAATCATTATGCAGTGTGCATTCTTTTATGCCTGGTTTCATTTACTCAACACTATGTATATAAGATTCATCCATGTTGTTACATGTAGGTATGTTTCCTTCATTCTTATTGCTGTATAGTATTCCACTGCAAGAATATACCTAAATTTATTTATCTGTTCTGTCAGTAGGCATTTGGGTAGTTTATAGTTTGGAGCAGATAGTACTGCCAAGACCATTCTTGTATATCTTCAGCTGAACATAAGAATACATTTCTGTTGGGCGTAGATAACTAGGAGGGGAATTGGTGGATCACATGGTATCCATGTGAAAAGCTTTCATAGATACTGCCAAACTGTTTCCCAAAGTGATTGTACCAATTTATATTCCCATTAAAATGAATGTGAGCATTGGGATGCTGCACAAGCTTTTAATACTTGGTATCTTTTTTGTTTTAGCCATTCTGGTGGATGTATAGGTTTTTGTTTTTTTTCTTTTAACTTTTTATTTTGACAGTAATTTTAGACTTACAGAAAAGTTGTAAGAATGGTACAAAGAATTTATGTACAAGCATCACTCAGATTTCCTGAATGTTAACATTTTCTACATTGCTTAAATTTCTTGTATCCCAAAAAGTCCATATTCATTCTGTTTTCTGCCCTTTGTGCGCATCTGCCTTTTTTTAAAGAAAATTAATTTTAACACATAATAAGATTATTAATGATTCCCCTTAATGTCATCAAATATCCAGTATACAGATGTTCCCAGTTGTCTCATAAATGGCTTTTTACAGTGGAGTTTGTTTGAGTCAGGATCCAAACAAGGTGCCAGTGTTGTATTTAGTTGACATAGTACATCTATTTTTATCAAACTCTGTCTCTCCAGACTGAATGAAGAGTTCTCATCTTTTTAGCCTGACATGGCTACTTCCTATTTGATCTCAACTCAAAACTAATCACATCTGTTTATTACTCTTTTCAAGCACATTTTCTTAATATTTTGACTATGTTTTCTGGTTGTCCTCAATAGGAAGATTGATTTGAATTACTTAGTCTACCATTGTCAACCTATGTTATTTTAAACCATGTGTACATATAAATTGCCATTGAAATGGTAGAGAGAAAATATAAGTGAAGCTGAAGGGTGATATTGAAACTCGTTATAGCCAAGAAATTGAGTCAAATATACAGTCCTTCCATAAATTCACTAATCTCATTTGATCTCAGAGTTACAAAGAAAAGTAACAGGCGAACAGAAAGAAGTTATTTATAACTTTAAATTCTTTTTTTTTTAACTTTATTGGGGGAACAATGTGTTTTTTCCATCAGCTCCAAGTCAAGTTGTCCTTTAGTCTTGTGGAGGGTGCAGCTCAGTTCCAAGGCCAGTTGCTGTTTTCAGTCTAGTTGCAGGGGGCGCAGCCCACCACCCCACGTGGGAGTTCAACCAGCAACCTTGTTGTTAAGCGTACATGCTCTAACCAACTTAGCAACCCAGAGGGCCAGCCAGGTGGCTTATTTGGTTAAGAGCTCACTCAAGAGTGTGAGCTCTGGGCCGGCCGAGTGGCGCGTTGGTTAAGAGCTGGCTTGGGACGCCAGAGGGCCCCGGTTCAGATCCCACATATGAGGGTCAGTGACACTGCTCTCTACAGCTAAGATGCTAAACAGCTCAACCTGGGGCTGGGTTGCCATGAGGCAACGGCGTAGGCTGCAGCCCCTGCTGCAGTGGGTTGCCAGCAGCCAGCGGAGTGGCCAGCCACCGTGAGCGGCCGTCCAGAGGCCGGTGACTGATCTGCCTCGCCC